AAACGTTTTTTTTTGGGGGGGGGTCATTTTTGGGCAGAGAAACGTCATTTAAACGGGATTAAACATGCAATCTTTATGCAATTGTCCGTGTATTTCACACAAAGATTCCTTCCATATATTTAGTTTGCGGCGATTAATTGAACAACCATTAAATGCCTCCACCTTTTTAATATTTTTCAGCATTATCCATGACAATCATAAGGAGAAAAACGTAAGAACAAAAATGTCAACAAAAGATCGATATTGTTTTGATTACAACACGTGCGTTCTCTTTTACCCTTGCTATGGTTGACGCACCACATGATAGAGCTCATGAAAATTGAGTCACATGTGAATAAATGAGTCGATAATTTAACGAATACTGTAATATAAGTTTCATATACTATCGCTAAAGAAGCCACAAAGGCTTTTTTTATAACTTCATTATTAAAAAATGTAAATCCCTCCAGTATGGACTACAAAATGTGAAAACAACAAATTAGTTTTACATAACAAGGCGATGCCCCCTTTCGTAGAATTTTTATTCTTTCTGTCTTTTCTTAGGACTCATAGTTTTCCAATGAAAATCTATAGTTTAATCTTAACAATGTTTTATTTATACATATAATATTGGCATCTCCTTCCTATGCAAGTGTTTCTACTTCCGATGTATTGGAAGCCATCTTGAATATTGAGTATGTTCTGGCAGATAATTTATTAATTTTTCCTCCTGAAAGTATTTGAAAAGGTATAATTATCTTTTTCAGTATATCCGACATACTGGACCAGAAATTTTCCTTATTTCCGGTATATTTTGGGATGTATGAAAATTGTTAGTTGTGATGTCGTTTCTAGGAAGTGATGATATTGTGTTTGCTTGTATTATGGCTTCGGCTTAGATTACAAGAGATGCAACTTGTGTGTCTGTAATTGTTGGCGATAGTATAATGTTTTTACTTGATATGTTTTGTTGTGTGTGTATACACAAGTTATCAGTGTCAGTTTAGTTGCATCATTCGTGTTTGCATTCTTATTTTATTGGGTTTTACTGCCTGTGTGTTTCTTTTGTTTGTTTGATTTCCTTATATTTTTTGCTGGCATGGTAATTTGCTGTGTGTGTGTGTTGATACGCAGTTACAGCAAGTCCAGTCAGAGTGTGTTTTTAGACTGGTGAATAGGTTGTCAGTTTGATTGCATGCTGCACAGCGCAGTAAATATTTGCATGTAGCTGCTGCATGTCCAAGTCTTTGACAATAAAACATTGTGTGATTTGTATGGTAGATTGTGAAATGATTTTGGTGAGTTTGAAATGGGCTACTGTGTGTGCTTTGATATGTCATTTACTTTGTTCTTTTTACTGATCGTGACTGTTTCTCGTCTCTTTAGGTTTTGACACAGTTACGTAAATACGTCTGAGATAAACTATCAATTCTGAAAATAACTAAATTTAACACTCGCGCTATATTTAAACCATCGAAATCATAACACTCGCATTAAACTTAAATAGTCGTGTATATCTAACAAATAAGATCAACAAAGAGCTAACCACACACCGAAAAGAGAGAAACTTGCTGGATTTAATCTTCAGCATTAAATACTATGTTTACCTAAAATGAGAAAAAAGATAATCATATAAGAAAAATGATCTACAACTCTGTGGGTTTATTGATGGAAAACCGTGCTGTGTGCTGATTGACACTGGTTCTTCAGCTACAATTGCTCGACCCGAGTTCTTAATGGAAAGTGGTAAGTTGTTTTTAGTGAGGAAGAAAGAAGAAGGATTGATGCAAACAGCTGGTGAACATAAGGTTCAGACAAAAGGTAAGGTGGAAGTTACCCTTACTGGAGGAGACTTCTTTATACATCCCTATGAACGGGTAATTGACATCAAGGAAGAGTGCATATTTGGGACTGTATTAATGTGGAGATAAAGATGCGAGGTCAAGATAGCTTCAAATAGCACAGTATACGACCAGGATAATCGTAATTACTACATGACGATTACTACTTCTAAGATTGAACTCCCAGTGATAACAAGGAGAGTGTCCATCATTTCACTATGAAGTGAAATACTCATACCAGGAGTTAACTGCAATTTATCTACATCTAATGACTTGGTCATAGTGGAACCAAATACCACAGCATGTCCTGAGGAATTAGTGATTGGAAGAGCTCTCGTGGATTTGAATAATAAAAATACTAGACATTGCTTTACCTAGAGAAGAATTATATCGGTTTGTGATAAAATGTAAGGTAACTATGATATTAATGATGATAAGACCAGGTTCCATCAAGGTGAAATAGTATAACTAAAACGTTCTCATAATAAAAAAGGGCAAAATGTACAGTTAAGCTGGTGTTCAGAAAGACCATACATTGTACTGTACTGAAATGGATCAATAACTTGGATTACAGAATGCAGAAGGATAGGCAATTCTTCCCAAGGATATTCCACTGTGATAATCTTTCGAAGTAGATTAGTGAGAGAATAGTCGACTGAAAACTTCAATGAATAATTTGCAAGTGTAAAATTGGCCACCTTGATCGTTCAGCTATGAAATTTTAGAACTAAATCTATTTTTACGTTAAGTAGAATTAGCTTAGTATTTCCTTAAGCTTACAAGTTACAGTAGTGTACATGTGAAGGTAGCTTGTAGAAACATTAAGGAAGAAATAAATTAATTTGTTATCGTTACGCAAACTGAACTCGAATTATTTATATCAAAAAATGTAAAAGAATTGTTTCGTATCTGCTCGTTTGTTAATTACCGGTATAAATTCTTAATTAAAACTAGTTTATTCTTTCTGGATACAACTTTGTAATACACTTAACAACTTTTATAACACACCCTATAGATCACAGTGATTCACACACTTTACTTACGGTGCCTACTGTTCGCTTGACTTAATTATCTCTATCTTCAATCTATCTGCCTATCTCTTCTTTCATTTGCCGGGCTTATATACTAAAAAAGAGGGCGCCTGGAACAAACTAGAGTTGCCAGGAAAATTCATGATCTTTCGAGAAACTCCAGCTTGCATGTTCCCAGCGTTGCGTGACTTCCGCTGTCGTAACAGAATCTATTCAGTGAAAGGACAATGGTACAAAGCTAATATTTAGTATATCAAACGTCTTTATTACTTTTTGATATATTGTTTATTATTATAATTGTTATTATAAAGATTGTTTTGCATTTTTAGCTCTTTATATTGTTACTTCTCCGTTTGTTAATTGATTTCCCGTAAATTCGTTCCGACGAAACTTTAGCGACACAAGTCCTTTCTTAAATAAAACTGGTTTATTCTTTCCGAATATAACTCTGCGATACACTTAATCTCAATACTCGCGCTAAAACAACACTATAACGAACGAACGTTAACTACAACAATACGTCTCTCTCTGACTGCAGTTCAATTACTCACTATCTACACACACATTACATTACCTTACCTTCTTTTATATACCAGCCTACCCTATATCTAGCAATTACTTGAGCATTCCTGAAAGAACAAGATAGTTCTAGAAACTAGAGGGCGCCACAGTGGTCATGTGACTCGCTGACGCAACAGTATTATAAAAAGTTAAAAACAGCCAAATTATTTTTTCGT